TGTGGCCAGACTGTGCCCTGCACACACCCGCATTGCTCCTAGGGCATATGTACCCAACTTCTCTTGGAGCCTGAAGCTCTTTTAGGACAAGGACGGGGTCTCAGGCTCCCCAGTCCCCATACACTGTTTGGTCAGCACAGAGTACACGTTTAATCAACAAACGTTGAATTCTACTGATCCAACAGACGAGGATCTGATCCTCTGCCTGCCCCACCCCTTCCCATCTATGTAACCTTGGGCTGTTAACTTCCTCTCTCCAGACCTCAATTTCCTCATCTGTAAGACAGAGATGACAATCTCTGCCCTACCTGTCCTGTGAGGTTAAACAATGAGTCATTGCAACCCAATCAAAATCCCAACTTGTTTGTGTCTGTGGAACCTGGACAGATGGTTCTAGGATTTATCTGGATGGAAGAATAGGCAAGACAGTTTTTTTAAAAGGAGAAAGAGGAGTGGAGTCCAGTCTTACAAGAAAGCAAAATACAACTACAATTATTACTAGAGTGTATAGTATTGCAAGAGGAACAGAAAGATTCATGGAACACCACAGAGCACAGGGACAAACCCATACATAAAACAGAACTTAGTCTATTACAGAAACACCTTTTCAGATCCATGGAGAGAAGAAGAATTAAACAATAAATGCTTCTGAGACAACTGTTATCTGGAAAAAGAATAGATCCCTACCTCACACCATATACAAAAATAAACTTCTTGAAGACTTGGTATCAAAAGAAAAAAAAAAGAATGTAAATAATCTCATTATTAATTATTTATATTGATTGCACATTGAAAATAGTAATCTTTTGGATATATTAGGTTAAGCAAAATATATTACAAAATTTAAAATAATAAACTTCTGGTGGATTAAAAATCATAAATGCAACAAACATAATCACAAAAATATTACAAGAGAATGGGAAATATTTCTGTTAACTCAAGATATATAAGGCCTGGGATACCTGGGTGCCTCAGTCAGTTAAGTGTCTGACTCTTGGTTTCGGGCTCAGGTCACGATGTCACATTTCATGAGTTTGAGTCCCGCATCAGGCTCTACATTGCCCGTACAAAGTCTGCTTGGGATTCATTCTCTTTCCCTCTCTCTCTGCCTCCTCTCTTTCTCTTCCTCTCTCTCTCAAATGAAATAAATAAACTTAAAAGAAATAATTGAGGAAAAAAAAGATATACGTGTAAGGCTTTCCTGGATAAAATCTACAAATCCAAATTCTACAAAGGCAAAGTTCAAGATTGACTATATAAAAATGTAAAACTTCTATGAGACAAAAGAGAGCATACTAAGTAAAAAGACAAGCTAAATAAATAAATAAATAAATAAAAAGTAGAGGCAGGCAAACTTTTTCTGTAAAGGGCCAGATAGGGCCATATGGTCTCTGTGCCAATTACTCAACTGCACTCTTGAAATGCGAAACAGTCATAGGAAATAGGTAAACAAGTGGGTATGGCTGTGTTCCAATAAAACTTTATTTACAAAAACAAGCTAGAGATTGCCACTGCCCTGGGATAAGTATTGGCAATATATAAAACAAATAGAAGACATCTAGACTATGTTAAAACCACCTGTCACTCAAAACCACCTGTGCCCCCACTAGGGGGTAAAAGGACAAAAGAAAAGAAAAGAAAAGAGAAAAGAAAAGAGAAGAAAAGAGAAAAATTTCACAGAAGAAATAAAAATGGCCAAGATGCTTGGCGGGGGGTGGGGGGAAGCCAACGTACCAATATACAGGAAGAGACGCTCACTTGACTGATAACAGGAAAATGCAAACAAAACTAATACCGAGATCATTTTACACCCATCCAAATGGCAAATATTTCAGGCCGATGGTACTGAGTGCAGAAAAGAGTGAGCACAAACACACATGCGCATACACTGTTGGTGGGAGTATATATTGATATAAACTTTTTGGGGGGCAATTTAGCGGCATCCGCCAACAATGAACACGTACGCATCCGACCCAAATACAAATGGCCACCTGGCAGTAATAAAGGCACCCCTGCAATTCAGTGGAAAAAGGGTGGACTTCTCAACCAATGCTGCTGGGACAACTGAATATCTGTACAAAAAGGGAATCTGTACATACCACACTAAGAGACGGAATACAGACCCAAATGTGAAAGATAAAACAGGAAAGCTTCTAAAAGAAAACACTGGAGGATATTTTCATCACCTTGGGTTAAGAAAAGATTAAACTGGACACAAAAAGCAATACTGAAAAAACGACTGGTAATCTGGACTTCATTACAACTAAGGGCTTCATCGTCCAACAGCACCATTAAGAGACATATCTATCTATCCACCAAAGGACTCAACATATCCACCAAAGGACTCAAATCGAGAATACAAAGAACCACTGCAAATTTATAATAAAAAGAAAGACCACCCAATCTAAAAACAGCAAAAGACTGTAACAGACACTTCATAAGAGGATACATGTGAAAAGTGCCAACCGTCACTAGTCATCAGGGCAAAACAAATTAAAACCACAATAAGGTACCACTGCACTCTCCCTGGAAGAGTGACAGTGAAAAGGACTGACGTTACCAAATGTCGCTGAGGATGCCGGGCCACCGGAGCTCTCAGACTTTGCTAGCCGACATTGAACGCAACGATCTTGGAAAGCCATTTGACAAAATCTACTAAAGCTAAACGTACGTGCACCCTTAACAATTCCACTCCTGGGTATTTACCCAAAAGAAAGGATGGCTATATCCACCAAAGATATGTACAAGAATACACATGAGTCATAAGAGCCAAAAAAGAAAAAAAAAAAAAAAAAAAAAAAAAAAAAAAAAAAAAAAAAAAAAAAAAAAACAGGAACAACCCAAGTCAACAGTAGAATGAAAAAACAAAAAAAAAAAAATAAGTAGTCGTATATTTGCTCAATATATACCCACAGCAATGAAAAAGAAATAAAACCCACAAGAACGTGGGTGAATCGCAAAGACACATTACACTGAGCCAAAGAAGCAGACACAAAAGGTAGCATCCTGTATGACTGCATTTAAAGAAACCTCAAGAACAGGCAAAACAAATCTACGGCGATAGAGGTCAGAACAGTGGCCGCTTTGGGGTGAGGGGGACAGGAACCGGCAAGGGGCAGGAGGGAGCCTCCCTAGGCCCCCTAAGTTTCTCTGGGTAGCTTCACACTGGTGTGGACCCACGTAAAACATCATTCAGCTCTACACTTTAGTTGTGTCCACCGCTAAACGCAATTTGTACCTTTAAGAAAGAAGCATAAAAATATACATACACTTTGGGGTGCCTGGGAGGCTCTCAGTTAAGCATCCGACTCTTGGTTTAGGCTTGGGTCGTGATCTCATGGTTCATGGGATCAAGCCTCAAGCTGGGCTCTGGGCTGGCAACACGGAGCCTGCTTGGGATCCTCTCACCCTCCCTCTCTCTCTCTCTCTGTCCTTCCCCCACTCATGCGGGCACTTGTACACACGCAACCTCTCTCTCAAAATAAATAAATAAACCTTAAAATATATGTGTGTGTGTGTATATATACACATACACTTTGACCGGCGATGATGAGGCTAGCCATTGATCCCACGTGTATATAAGGATCACACGTGTACATAATGCGTCCTGCAGCCCCGTACGGAAGAACAAAAACTTGGAAACCACGCAACGTCCATCAACAGGGGCTGGCTAGATGAACTGCCTTTTATCCGTGGAATAAGAAACCCTGGTGTAAAACACCCTCAAGACACATTGTCAAAGCAATTCGTATATTTAAAGTCTGTCTGGGATGCGAACGGCCTTCAGACGGAATCCGGGAGAAGGGACCAGACGCCTTGCAGAGGACATCAGTCCTGGGTTCAGATTCCGGGCCCCGCCACTTCCTAGCTGGGCAGTACTGTCCTGACTCTGTGCCCCAGAACCCTCAAACAGACCGTGTGGGGTCTCCCCAAGGGCTCATGAGACTGAAGGGGTGCTCTGAGCACCCTCACCGGAGGCAGGCGCTGCAGGCAGGGGAACCTGGGTTCTCACACCGGCTCTGATGTTGCCAACCTTGCCCTGGAGCAAGATACCCCTCTCTTGGCCTCTGCCTCCCAGTCTCCACAAGGGGTCAGATTTAAGCATTACCTCAGTCACACCTGTTGCGCTGGAGCACCTCATCATTGTTAACCAGGTAAATACACCAGTCTAGAGACACCCAACAACCAAGTAAGTGAACTCACCAGTGTAATTTCAGGAGGAAATCAAGCAGGCTAATGCAACAGAGTGTCTGGGAGTAAGGGGGTGGTGAGGGAAGGCCTCCAGCAGGTGGTGACCTTGGGGCTGAGGCGGGACAATGAGGAGGAGGCCACGGAATGACCTAAGGAAAGACCCGTGTGGGACAGAGGGGTCTGGAACTGTCCTGAACCCCCAAAGCTGAGAGCTCATACCCACACACCTCCATCTTTGAAGACCAGCCCAGGAGAAGTGGGTGCCCCCCGCTTCCTGCTGCTGTGGGGCCCACCTCTTCCAAGTGACTGACACAAGAGTAGGCCCCCACATGCCCACGGGATCCTTCCCACAAGGGTGCCCCTTCTCTGGTCCCCGTGGCAATGGGGCAATGGGAGGGTGAACCGGTCGCCTCCCCCATCCTCACCCCGGCTCTCGGGGTTAGCTTCCTCTCTACAATTGACAGGACATGTGAGAGAAAGCTGAGCCCACCCTGGAGGGCGTCCCAAGCCTCCCGCAGTCGTCCTCCGTCCACGAGAGCCCCTTGGTGGAGGCACCTGTGACCAGTTCCCCAAGGGCAGGAACTCTGCCTTCTGTTGTGTCCTGAGCACTAAGCACGGGCTTGGCAAGAGCTGACACTTGAGTGCTGCTCTCGAGCGAGAGGCTGGTTCGGTCCCTCCAGGGCCTGGCACAGGGCAGGAGCCCGCCGAGGCGCAACAGCGTGTCAGCATCCTCCCGTCCAGACGCATCCATGCGGGTACGCACGCCCAAACACGTCGCTCCTCCCTCACCGCGGAAATTCCACAGATGTCAACTCTCCCAGGCAACTCAACCCGACTCCTCCAAGAGCCAGAGCTGGACTTCTGTTGAGCGGCTTTCGACAATCACCTCTCTGGGGTGGGGAGCCCACCCACCCGCTTATCAAGGCAAACGGGCCGACTGTGAGTTGACCTTTCCTGGATGACTGGGAGTCACCAAGAGGGATGTCTGTGCTGGAATTGGGCCAGGTTCGGTGTCTGCCTTTGAGGGTTCTTATTCCTTCTTATGCCTTATTATTCCGTGTTGGCATCACGTCTGCTTGGGTCTCAGCTGTCCTTTTCCCTCCTGTTGGAGCCCACAGTTTGCCGCTTCCACTCTGCTGGCCCCATTCCCAATTACCGAGTAAGTTAAAACTGTGTATGAAGTAAGAGTCACTAGGAGCTGAATTCGCACCTGAGGGCCTATTTGAGCCCGGGACTCTGTGATACCCATTTTGAGAGCTCAGTGGCCTTTTGTGCTCCTTTTAGTGTTCAGCCACTCACGGGAGACCCACCACCAGCACACCTGAGCACATTCCTTGGCTTCTCTCCACTCCTGGGAGTAAGGGTTGGGACCAGGTGCTCCATGGGGAGACCCTCCCCGTCCTAAAACATCCAGCACCCCTGCCGCCCCAGGCAAAGCTGGCTGGCTGGCAGCCACCCGGGTGGTGGGGGCGGCACTCACATGGTGAAGTTCTCCTCCAGGAAGCAGCGGTTACGCAGCAGGCCCGCCCAGAGCTGCACGCCGATGATGCCGAAGATGAAGAAGACGAAGAAGCAGAGCAGGAGGACATTCCCCAGCATGGGCAGCGTGTCCAGGAGCAGGTTCACCAGGATCCGCATACCTGTGAGTGGGGGAGGGTAGAGAGACTGTCAGCCTTGGGAGCAGAAGTCCCAGGAGGACAGAGAGAGAGCAGGGTTAGAGAAACAGAGACAAGGGCATGGAGAGGAGAGGTGGGGACACGCGGGCAGGGGCTCCTTGGGGCTCCCAGCCTGCTCAGGGGCCATTAAGCAGACCTTCTCCTTGATGTCTGCCCCTCTGCCAAGAGGCCGCAGAAATGGCTCTGGGCCCCACCACTCTTTCACCAGATTCCGGATGAAAAAGCAGGTGTTTACGGGACACTGTTTATGTGCCAAACTCTCTTCTGGGTAATGCAAAAATGTGATGTCCTTCAGAGACCTTGAGCCAGTCCCTTCCCCTCTTAGAAGAGAAGGTCCTCAGCAAAGGGGCCCAAGAAGACAGCAGCCACCCTGCAAAGGTTCCCCAGCTCAAGAGCCGCACCCAACTCTCCTGACGCTCCCACCCCACAGAGCAAATGGGGGAACGCACTCCACTTCCAGCCCCATCCCACTCTTACCACCCTTCACATCTACTTCCCTATCCTTCCCTTCGGCCCCCCCTGCCCTGGGCTGACCCATCCACATGCCCTCTCCCTTTCCACAGGCTCAGTCCCAACCCCTGGCACCCCCCACCCCTCCGTCTGCCCCCTTGACTCCACGAATGGAGCTCTGGACACCCCAGTCAATGCAGAATCCACAGGAGCACAAACCCCAGGCAGATGGGTCACCTCCCTGGTTTGGCCCAGCCACCTTTCCCAGCCCTAAGAAAACATCCCCACTCCCCCACTCTAGTCCCCATGGTTTGCCTGGGCTGCCGTGGAGATCACATGACATGGGCCTGACCAATCAGCACATCCCGTTCCTCTAGCCCCAGTGATTGGTCCAGAATAGGCATGTGACCCCAGCCAGGACCAATGAGGGTCAACCCTGAGACTTCAGCTGGAACTACAGGGGGAAATGCTCTCTTTGTGCAGAGGTTGCCAGCTGGGCAGACTTAAGGCCGGAGCTGCTGGGCCCATCTTGCCTCAGCAGGGCAGCACCTGCCTACAATTGAAGCCAGCCCAGGAAAAACAGAGCCCAGGACACAACAGGGACAATTCTTGACAACAGCCTGGAAGGACTGCAGGAGGTGAACCTTATGAAATTGCTGTAAAATGTGCAGGTACAATACCATGAATTTTTCTTGGGAGAAGATCCACACCAGTGTCTGTGGTCCCAAAGAGGGTCAGGAGTGCTGGGTCACTCTTGAGTACATACCTTCCAAGCTCCTGTGAGATCTGACTCTACCTACCTCTCTAGCTTCAGATCTCTCTCTCTCTCTCTCTCTCTCTCTCTCTCTCTCTCTCTCTCACACACACACACACACACACACACACACACACACACACACACACCCTCTCACCAATTTGCATCCTATGGTTAGCAGTGCCAAATTATTTGAAGTTCCCTAAACATATTATGGGATTTCACACCTCCATGCTTTTACTCATGCTTTCTGGAACACTCTTCCATCTCTCTTATGCCTGGTGAATCCCTATTCAACCACCACAGCCCAGCTGAAGCTCTATTTTCCCTCTGTAAAGACTTCCCCTATTCCATCCCAGGTAGAGTCCATCCCTCTCTCTTCTGCTCTGGGCAATCTCACCACCTCTGACCTAGGGTGACTTGCACAGTTGTGCAAGTTGCATACCACACAATCTTGGAGGCCCCATTCACTACGTAGCCTTCTAGCGCTAGTGTATTATTATTTGTTTACCCCTTCCTCTTCCACTGGGCTGTAAGCTCCTGGGAGCAGGACCTGTGTCCAGTCAGCATTCTCAGAACCCAGCAGTTCCTAGCCCAGAACAAAGCCTCAGCCAACATTTGTTGAATACGTGATGAGTCATGAGGAAAGAATGGAAGATTGGAGAAGGGAGGATGAAAAGATGGTGACAAGGAGAACAGTGGCCCTATTCAGATTTTTATTTATTCCAGGGGTGATGCTAAGGTGGTTGTTAACGAGGGTAGTTATTTCAGATTTGCATCACGAGCTCTGTGTGGAGTGATTTCCAATCAATAATTAATGCCTGCCCCGTCCTCCCTCCCCACAAAACTAGGTCAGCCTCCTCCCGGAGAAGGCAGTGGGTCTCCCTGGCAGGCTGCTGCCTCCAGTTGAGAGCAGGCCAGGGTGACTGAGGGCTAAATACCCCACCCCTACCCTCACCCTCAATAGGGATAGCCCAGGGAGTGTTGGGAAGGGAAACAAGGAAATAGACCAAGCACCCTTGCGATCCATCCAAATCCGGGCACCTTCCTGGAGGGACTGACTTGAGCTGGGCCCTGCAGGATGACAGGAGCTTGTGGCAAACGCACAAAGGTATGACCGTTCAGAGAGCGCATCGAGGCCATGCTTGGGAGTGGCCGCAAAGCGGGATCTAAGGAGCGAGGGGCCCTGGGCTAGGGGACTGGTCAGGGAAGGCCATGAGCAGATTCTAAGCAGGCCAAGCCCTTGGACAGGGCAGTTCTAGAGGATGGGACAGCGGCAGGACGCAACCAGCCATGTGAGAAGGGGTTGGGTCAGAAAGGCCTTGAGGGAGCAGGTGGCTCTGAGCCACCCCAGCCTGACTGCTCCATGGCTGCCCCCCCCCCACCCCCCAGCCTTTGTTGCTCGATTAATTACATTTCCCTTGTTCTCCAGGATATTGAAATTCTGAAAGGCTCCTCAAAACCTGCCTGTCTGGCTTCCCTGAAGGGCAGCCCGTCCGTCCCCCTTCCCCTCCTCCCTCTGCCAAGCCAGGCCCCAGCTCACTCCACAGCCCTCCCTTGGGCCCAGGGAGTCCCAGGGCCACTGAGCCAAGGCATAATTAGCTAATTAGGGACTCAGAACGAATCCATCTTTCCGTGCCAGGGAAAAGGGGCCACAGGATTAGGGAGTCAGGGAGGACCCCGCGAGACCCCAGCTAACCCTCCTTTTATGCCTGCAGTCAAGTAATTAGCTAAGGCACGTCGTCGGATGGTTCCTCTCTGCCCTCAGTTCCCCCGGCACTGGGCTCAGGAGGTGGAGGCAGAGAGGAGAGGCAGAGAAAGAAATGGAGACAGAGGACAGAGATGGAGAGAAAGACCAAGAAAGGCAAAGACAGAGATGTCTGCCTCAGACCATCCTTCCTACTCAAGTCGAAGCACACCTATCCCCAGCCCAGCCCTCCTCCTCCAGGCGGTCTCTGATTTCCACCCCACACCAGTGAAGCCTTCCTGCCTCCAGTTCCCCCAGGTGTTCACTCACCATCGCTCAAGACGAACTTTTCTGGTTTTGCTTTCTTAGTGTGATGTCTCGGGCCTTCAGCCTGGGGTAGAGGCCAGGACCAGACTCCCTGGCAACCCCATGAGTGTGGCTGAAGACCCTGCTTCCCCAGGCGAGAGGGGAAAGAGGACCCCAGAGTCCCCAGGACATCCAGTGCTTTGGTGAGTGCCCAGAGCACCAGCCCAGGACGGGACGCCTGGGTGCCTCTCCTGGTGGGGCAGCCCTGAGGCCGGCCTTGCCCCCGCAGGGCCCCAGTGGCCTCATCTACAGAAGACAGTGGTTCCCATCCGGTCAGCCTCTCGAGGCTGGGACAGGACCTCAGAGGACGAGCCCCCAGAGCCAGAAGCTGCCAGCAGTCCTTCCACCCCCGTGGGGAAGGTACAAATTCTTAGCCCATCCCCAAGCCCCTACGCACAGGCCCCAGCCTGTCTCCCCAGCCGCACCTCCCTCTGCCCACCACCCCACATCTAACCCTGCGGCTCCAGCCGGACTGGCAGACGCCCCCAGCATCCCTACTCTTCACCCTCACACACACACTGCCCCCACCGACAGCACCCTCCCCCATCACCACCTCCAGGATTCCTATTACTATTACCCTGTGGGGGGGGGGGTGCAATGCTAGGTCCACTCCCCAGGACAGCAGCACCCCATGCCGGTGTGACCTAGCCAGGCTGACCCCCTTCCAGCCCCCCGGAAAGCCCTCACACACACTCACAAGGCCATCTCCCCTCCTTTCTTAGACCTCAGCTGACTGGTCCTCTTTTCTGGCCCCTGGGCTGGGCTGGTAGCCCTGCAGTGAGCTGCCCACTGCCCTGCCCTCCCTCCATCGCAGCACTTATTACGCTGTCGGCCCTCGTCAGTTCATGGCTCTGCCCAAACTGACCGCATCCTAAGCAGGAGGCCCAGAAGGGGTGTTCCGCCTCCTCCGATCTAGCCCGGGGCCTGGCAGAGTGGCCCCCGAGGATGGCCACGAAGGAGTGACGGATGGGTGGATGGATCCATTCGACCAATATTTAGTGAGGACCTACTACGTGCCAGGCGCTGTTCTAGGTTCTAGGGGTGCATCGGTTAAAACAAACAAATGAATAAACGGACCAAATCCCCTGCTCCCAGGAGGTGGACATTCTAGATACGGGTAGGGAGAGACCAAACCACACACATACTAAATAAATAAGTACATCTCCTCATTTGTTGGATGGTGTTACGAAAACAGCAAGTGGAGGAGCGGAAAGGGACGGGGGGGGGCGCCAGGCTGGGCCAGGGGTAGGACAGGTATAACCTGGGGGCCCGAAAGGCCTCGCTCGCAAGACGATACAGGGCACAGACTCACAGGAGGTAAGGGAGTCAGCTG